GTTCGGAGTTCTGAAGTCTTTCAAAATTGTTTGCCTTTACGATGTAGTTATTTTATAAGTTTTTCTCCTGGTTCTGTTCACTTCACTCTGCATCGTTTCACAAATATTTTCCCAGGTTTGTCCAAAATCACCTCTTTCTCCAGAATAATAGTGTTCCCTAACAATCATATGCCACCCCTTGTTCAGCCATTCCCCAGCTGATGGGCATCCCCTCAATTTCCAATTCTTTGCCACCACAAAAAGAGCTGCTATAAATATTTTTGTACATACGGTCCCTTTTCCTCTTTCTTTGATCTCTCTGGGGATATAAGCCGGGTAGTGGTCAGAGAGTAAGCAGAGTTTTTTCAAATTGACTTCCAGAATGCTGGATGAATTCAGAGATTATCCATGCTTTAAAAAAAAATTCTATGTGACCACCTGAGGCCCTAAGCTTTGTGGCTCCACAATGGGGCATTTATTCCAGGTAGCACTTTAAATTAGAATGATAGGATGTTGAAGCTGGAGGGAGCTTATGGTAGAGAAGGTCAGAGCCAGGAGGTCCCTAATGACAATCTACTTCAGCCATCTCATAGATGGGGAAACTTATTCGAGGAGAAAAGACCTGGCCAGGCTCACACAGTAAAGTGAGGACCGGAGTCCAGGGCTCTTTCCACTTCCCTTGGCCTTACTGTGGTTAAATTATTTACTAAGTGGGTGAGAAGGGAGAACCACCATCACTCTTTGATGTTTTTCCTTTCATGGAACCAGATATGTGTGCTGGTGTCAGAAAGCTCTCTCGTCCCAGGTGCTGGATTTAGGAGGAGTAAACATCATGTAAGCGGTCAGAGCAAGGTTGTCACTTACTGGTTAAACAATGATGCAAAAAAAAAAGTCTGAAGCCGTTGCTTTTATGCATTCATAGTCTATCACTGAACCTGTTTTTGGTTTTTGTTTGTTTTTGCTTTTTGGCTAGGCAATGAGGTTAAGTGACTTGCCCAGGGTCACATAGATAATAAGTGTCAAGTGTCTGAGGCCAGATTTGAACTCAGGACCTCGTGACTCCAAGGCTGGAGCTCTATCCACTGTGCCAGCTAGCTGCCCCTGGACCCGTTTTTGTAGCGTTCCTCGGCATCTGCCCCGGGTCTTTTCGTCTCCTCTCCTTCCCAATTCTCTCTTCCTCTCCTCTCTCCTCTCTTTTCCCTTCCCTTCTCTTCTCCTCTCCTTCTCTCCCTGTTCTTCCCTCATATCTCTTTTTTGGTTCCAAGCTCTCTCTTCATAATTGTGCAACATTCAGTTGCAGTTATTTTGTAGCTAATGTTCATTCCATTTAAATTGTTGCAGTCAGTGTTGTGGTTTTACTTGCGTCATTTTCATCAGTTCATGTCATTCTTGTTAGGCTTCTCTATAGTCATCATACTGGGTATTTCTTATAGCACAGTGATATTCCATTACATTCACATGCCACAGTTTGTTTAGCTATTTCCCCATCAATGGGCATATATTTTGTTTCTTGTTCTTTGCTACCACAAAAAATGTTGCTATAAATATTTTGGTATATGTGGTATAGCCAGGTATGATGGGAATTATACTATAAATTTCTTCTTCTTCTTCTTCTTCTTCTTCTTCTTCTTCTTCTTCTTCTTCTTCTTCTTCTTCTTCTTCTTCTTCTTCCTCCCTCCTCCTCCTCTCTCTGTATCTGTCTCTTTCTGTGTGTCTCTGTCTCTCTTTCTCTCTCTTTCTGTGTCTCTCTGTCTCTCTTCCTCTCATTAATCTCCTTGGAGTATATACCCAGCAATGGAATCTTTGGTCAGAGGGCATGGATACTTTAGCTAAAGCATTTACACAATTCCAAATTGCTCATAAAAAGGAGTCTAATAATTCATAGCTTGACTGACAGGGCTTTAGTTAGCCTAGACAATTCTTCTTCATCTCCATCATTCACTTTGCCACTCCATGCCAATCACCCTCTAGGATCTTTATTTAGAAAGACAGAATGGAAGGGTGGAGCTGGGGATTTTCTCTTCTATCTTCACCATTTCTATGTCTTTTAAGGGGGGCATTACCCTCCCAGTCACCCAAGTTCATAACCCGAGAGATCCTTGACTTCTCTCTTTCACTAACCTCCCTGACTGCCCTAATTCAGTTTCCCATTCTTGCCACATGTTGCCAGTTCTACTTCCACAGCACAGCTCACACCCATTGCCTCCTCTCCACTGACATAGTAAACCCCTGAGATCAAGCCCTCATCATCCCTCACGAGAACTACTAGAGCTGGTTCTCAGTGGTGCCTCCCTCTTCCATTCTCTTCTCCAATCTGTCCTCATAACATGGCCAAAAGTCATCTCCCAGGTCTGATGATGTCACTCCACTACCCCTAGATCTTCACTGGTTCCCTGCTTGGATCATAAACCTATAGTTGAAAGTAGGGATATTTTGGTAATTGTTTAACAAATGGCTCTTTGAGGAAAAAAATGTACAGGAAACTTTTTTTTTTTTTGGTGAGGCAATTGGGGTTAAGTGACTTGCTCAGGGTCACACATCTAGTAAGTGTCAAGTATCTGGTCTGAGGTTGGATTTGAACCCAGGTCCTCCTGACTCCATGGCCAGTGCTCTATCCACTGTGCCACCTAGCCACCCCTGCAGGAAACCCTTTTAAGTTGAATTTGCATTATTCACATTCTCTCCATCTCTTAAATCTAGCTAAGCAACAAAAAGTAAACCAAACCCTGATTTATAGCATTTGCTGATTTCTGAAGTATAAATGCTTACACTGAAACAATCGGCTCTCATGAACCTTTATGAACTGGTTGTAAGTGACCTTAGGGGTCATTCAGTCCAACCCCACCTCATTTTTTAGAAGAAGGAATTGAGAGGGCAGCTAGGTGGTGCAGTTGATAGGGCATCAGCCCTGGAGTCAGGAGGACCTGAGTTCAAATCTGGCCTCAGAAACTTACTAGCTGTATGACCTTGGCAAGTTGCTTTACCCCTCCAAAAAAGAAGAAAAAAAATGAGGTTATGCCACTTCCCCAAGCTCACACAGGCCATAGCTAGAAGGAACTTTATTTAGAACACAGGCTGTCAGAGTCATCAGAGACCTTAGTGACAGAGCTAGAATTTGAATTCATCTCCACTAACTTCAAATCCAGAACTCTTCTCTCTGGACCATATGGCCTTTAGGCTAAAATACAAATTACTCAGTAAGGCTTCTGGTTCTAAATTGTGATCCCATAATCTAGCCTGCATGACTTTGCACAGTCTGGCCTCCATGGTCGGAATGCATTCTCTCCTCATCCCAATCTCTAGAAACCCCATCTTCCTCTGAGCCTCAGCTCAGGAGCTGCTTCTTCCATGAAGCCTTCCTTGCTTGTCTTCCCCTCTCCATATTCAGAATACCGCTCCCCTCCCCCCAAAAGTTGTTGGTTCAGTCTCTGCCTTCAAATTTTTGTCCAGTCATTTTTCAGCCACGTCTGACTCTTTGGGACCCCATTCGGGGTTTTCTTGGCCAAGATATTGGAGGGATTTGCCATTTTGTTCTTTAGATCATTTGACTGATGAGGAAACTGAGGCAAACAGGGGTAAGTGACTTGCCCAGGGTCACACAGCTAGGAAGTCTCAGAGGCCAGATTTGGACTCAGGTCTTCCTGATTCTAGGCCTGGCGCTATGTGCACTATGGCACCACCAGCTGCTTTATGTTTAATTCTCAGAATACGTGTTTTAGTCCCTAGTAAGCCCCTGAGGATGGGGACCATTTTTATCTTCACATCACAGGGTCATAGGATTATAGATTTCAAGACAGAAGGGATTGCAGAGGCCGCCGGGATAACCCCTTCATTCTGCATAGGAGGAAACTGAGGCCCAGAGAGGCTGCCTTGCTTTCCCAAGGCCACAAAAGTAGTAGGTAGCAAAGCTGGGATTTTAACCCAGATCCTCCACCCCCAAATCCTGTTCTTTCCATTGTCCTTTCTTCCCCACCCTGCTGTATGGGTCCTCCCAGCCCTGACATTCCCTGTTCCAGGGCCCTCCCAGCCTGGACATCCCCTGTTCCAGGGCCCTCTCAGCCCCGACATTCCCTGTTCTAGGGCCCTCTCAGCCTTGACATTCAGGTGTTCTCCACAAACGAGGTACCTAAAGTGCTTGGCACAGTGCCAGGCACTGCACAGATGCTTAATGCATGCTTGTTCACTCCCTCCTCAGCCGTGACTCTAACTGCTCAGACATGGCCACTCTCTGCTTGGGGGAGCCAAACCCCAACCCCACCAGCTGTGGTCACGACAGCTCCTCCTACGAGAGCAGGTGCCATTTCCCAGTGGTCATGGTTCACAAAATGCTGGTCCTGCACCAAGTGGTCACGGATGACCAAGGGAGGCCCAGAGAGGGAGCTGAGCTGTCTGGGCCCAGCCGGCAGGGGCAGGGTGGGGCTCTGAGCCCCAGGCCCCCTTCCTGTTGCAGTGGAGCCTGGAAAGGGCCCTGTGTTGGAGGCAAGTTGGGAGGGGCCCAAGGAGGGCAGCTCCTGAGACCCTGGGCTCTCTGAGCTGGCACGGAGGGCTATGGAGGGTCTTGAGGCCCCACTGCACTCCAGCAGGGTCTTCTCTGCAACCTCCCCGGACTCTCTGGGCCTGATTCATGCAACACAGCTGGAGCCTGGGGAGTCCACACTCATCCTTAGAGTTCACATTTTTATTTTGGCAAGAAAAGGGACCCCTCCTTAGGCACCCCACAAAAGAGCCACCCCAGGGGGTCACCGGGTCAGAATCCAGCTGAACATCCATCTGAGGGCAGGGGTCAAAGCCTGTGGCAGGAGACTGTGAGGGCCGGAAGGCCAGAGGTCACGGCATCTTGAAGGGCCGAGGATGAGCCTGGGGCCTGGATCCTGGGGTTTCTTGAGGAAGCACCTCAGTATCCGTGCAGGCTTGAAGGAGGTTGGAGATCCCGGAGCAGGAGGAGGCTGGGGTCCCTCGGTGACCTTCGGGGTAGGGGCTGAGGGGAGGGAGGGGTGGGGGGAGAGAGGCTCCCACTGGGGCCATTTGGCACAAAATGAGGGGGTTGGGGGTAGTGAATTGGGTGTGGGGTGGGGAAGGAAGCTGCTGACCATCAAGGCCCGGTGGGTCCCAGGACTCAGGCTGGGCCAACCCCCACCCTCCTAAAACCTCTCAGGGTTGCGTGTGTATATGGGCACGCTAAGTGGGGTGCCAGCCCTCAGATGGGGGGCATAGCCCCAGCACCGGTGTGGACGCTGAAGTACTCAGGAAAGCCAGGGTGGGGCCTGTGAATCTGGGGGGCATGAAGCTGATAAGGGGGCGGCAGGCCCTCCCCACCGGGGGCCGGGGGTGGAGAGGCCTGCTTGGCCGTGGTCACCACCCGGCCCCTTGGAGGCTCTGCTGCCGCTGTCTCCTCCACCTGCTTCCCAGCCTGGGGGGGAGGGGGAGGGTTCAGGGAGGGGAGGGGATGATCAGTTGCTGGTGGGAACTCCCCGGAGGAGGGGAGGATATGGTCCCCAAAGTCTCCTCTCCCCCCTCCCTAGGAAAGATCCCTCCCCTCCCACCCCTGGTGGCTCAGTCTGGGAGGGTGAGGAAGCGCCCCTGGCGAGTGGGAAGAGGGGCCAGATACTCTAAGGGCATGGTTAAGTCATGTGTGATGAATTCGGGGGGTGGGGTCAGGGCCCGAGTGGCCAGGACTGGGGAGTGGGGAGGGGGAGGGGGAACCTGGAAAGCTGGAGGAGGGGGGACTCGTGGGGCTGGGGGTGGGGTCCGAAGCAAGGCCAGGACCCAGGATGGGAGGGGTGGGGGTGGGCTCCTGAAGCCTAAGGGTGGGGTCAGTGGGGTCTTGCGGTCAGAGGTTTGGGGGGGTGGGGCAGGGACAGGGGTGAGGTACTCCAGGGGTGGGGCCAGGAGCTGGGAGGGGAGAGGGGTGTCCTCAGGGCCTGGGAGGGGTGCCTGAGTGAGCAGCCAGGTCCTCAGGGGGCGGAGCCAGCTCCCAGGGGGAGTAGCTGGGACCCGGATGGCAGAGCTTACGCTGGCCCCTGATGCTGAAGGGATGGAGAAGAGTTCCGTGAAGTTGGGGACGGAGTCACTGATGAAAGTCACATTTCCATAGACATGCTGAGGGAAGGACTTGTCTGACGGGGCCCCTTCTGGCCCAGGTCCCCCAGCTGAAGCAATCTGGGAAGTTCGCACATGGTAGGGGAAATTCTTGTTGGCAGCTGAAGGCCTCGTCATGATCTGGGAGGGATGATGAGAGAGAAATGTGAGATGATGGGGTGGGGGGGCAGAGGGATGGGGCGGGGCAGAGTGATGGGTGGACAGAGAGATGGGGGGACAGAGGATGGAGGGACAGAGGGATGAGGGAACAGAGAGGAATAAGGGACAGAGGGATGAGGGTAGAGAGATGGGGGCAGAGGGATGGAGAGCGACAAATGGATGAGGACCAAAAGGCTGGGTGGACAGAAGGTTAAGAGATGGAGAGATGGAGGGGCGGAGAGGAGACAAGAGCCAGCCTTTAGTGCCCCTCCCACTCTCCTCCCATCTCTGTCCTCACCAGGAATACCCCATGTGCATAGAGGTGAATGCCCAGCTGGATGCCATTGACGATTTTCTCTCGAGCCCATTTGGGGATGCCAAAGTTAGCAATGAGGGCCATGACAGGGACAGCAAAAAACCTGGGGAGGTGGAGCAAAGATGGGGGTGAGCCCTGACCTCTGCCCACCTCCCACTCCCTGGACCCAAGTCCTGCTCCCTAAGGGGCAGGGGGAGGGGTCCTGTGCACAGGGACCAGAGACCACCCCTCCCCCAGCACAGTGCCCAGGGTCCCTCCCCAGATCAGGATCTCCCAGGCCAGGCCAGGGCTATGGTCTCACCAGAAGATGTCAGAGGCAGAGAAGGTGCCTGGATTAGGAGAGGTTACAGGTCAGGAGGGGGAGTTTTGAGCAAAGGTCAGGGAACAGACATAAACAGTAGTCAGAGGTCACAGGATCAGAGGGAGCTGGAGGTCATGGGGAACGGGGGTCAGGTATCAGGGTGGAAATGCAGGGATCAGAAGGGATTGGAGGTGAAGGGTCAGTGCTTGAAGAGGCCAGGATGCCAAGGTCCAGAGGCCTCACCAGAAGCTGCAGGACCCGGCTGGACTTCTCACCAGAGTGTGTAGGCAGCAAAGAAGGGCCCATAGAATGGCTGTTTCTCAGGGAAGTGCCTCAGGGACACCAGCACAGCGTAACAGAACCACACGTAGGCGGCCACCTGGAGGCCGATGAGCCCATAACCGGCCGGAGACTCATAGGTGTACAGCACCTGCCCAGGGTCAAAGAACTGGCCCCGAGAGAGGAGCAGGGGGAGAGGGGTGAGGCCCCAGTCCTCAGGTCCTAGTCCTGCATTTTACAGATGAGGAAACTAAGGCACAGAGGGCCCAGGCCATCTTCCCAAAGTCACCCAGGGAGTAAGTGGGCCGAGTCAAGTGTGAAATCCAGGTCCTCTGACTCCAAATCCACAGTGACAGAAACAAGGAGGGGCAGGCAGGGCCAGAGAGACCAGAAATGCAGACCCAACGTCAGGCCCTGGGAGGCCCCTAAGGAAGTGACACTGGGCTCTGCGACCCATGCCAAGTCACAGCCATGGGGTGGGAAAGCCAGGACGAGCCATCAGTGCCAGTGGAGGGTCCCCTGGGGGCCAGGCCAAGGCCGAAGCCCCCAACCCATTACACCACTACTTTATGACAGTGAGTCAGAGAAAGACAAGCCCCCTCCCCAAAACAGATCATGAGAGCGGAAGGTACAGCCAGAAAGAGATGAGAGGCTCTGAGCAGGAGAAAGGAGCAGAGAGGGGAGGGGACTTGGAGCCCTGAATAAGGGCAGAGACAAAAGAGGCTAGCAGAGCCACTGGGGAGGGGGAGGGGGAGGGGGAGGGAAAGAGGGCCAGGACAGGCTCTTACCTCGGCCTCATAGATAAGGAGAACCACGTGTGTAAGTGTGTACAGTGTCATGTAGACGGAGAGCTTCACAGAGCCTGAATGGCTGATCCGGCCCCTGGGGATGGAGGGAGAAAAGGAGAGAGAGAAAAAGGGAGGAATGGGGGGGGAGAGAGAGGAGAGAGAGAAGAGGGGAAGGGAGAAGAGGAGAGGAGAGGAGAGAAAAGAAGAGAAGGGGAGAGAGAGAGAGAGGAGAGAGAGAGAGGAGAGAAGAGTGAGGAGAGAGGAAAGAGAGAGAGAGGAGAGAGGAGAGAAGAGTGAGGACAGAGGAGAGAAGAGTGAGGAGAGAGGAAAGAGAGAGAGAGGAGAGAGGAGAGAAGAGTGAGGAGAGAGGAGAGAGGAGAGAGAGAGAGAGAAGAGTGAGGAGAGAGGAAAGAGAGAGAGAGGAGAGAGGAGAGAGGAGGAGAGAGAGAGAGAGGAGAGAGAGACGGAGACAGACAGACAGAGAAACAGAGAAGAATGTGGGGGATGGAAAGGAGACCATCAGGAAAGATGGCAATGGCCAGCCCCGCCCCCCTGGATCCCCTGGCCTCAGTACTCCGTTTTCTAAATTCTTCCACTCCAAACCCCCGCCCCCCCAGGGAGCCTGGTCTGTCCCCCTGCCCAGGCACCGAGTCACGGTGAAGCCTTTTCCCAGCAGGATCAGCATCAGTAGGAAGATGAGGAAGCTGACCGAAAACAGTAGTTTGGCTGAGAGGGAGAGAGGAAGGGAGAGAAGGGACTCAGAGAGGGCCCCTGTCCAGGCCCCCACTGGTGCCCAGCCCTGGCCAGTTCAATCCTCACCCACGATCTTCAGGCTCTCATTGCCGATGCCATTGCTGGCATATTGACCCCAATATATGCAGAAAAACAGGAGGCTGAGGACTGTAAAGGGCAAAGCCAAGTCAGTCAATGTGCATTTATTAAGCACCACCTGCATACTGGGAAGACAAAACCAAAGTAGAGCAGTTTCTCCCCTCAAAGAGCTTTGCCTTTACTCGAATCCAAAGGACAGAAGTGGGGAGTGGTGGCGGAGTCGAATCCTTACAGTGCTAAGCAGGGCCCCCTCAAGGACTCCAGTTTCCGGCCCCCCAGCTCTCACCTTCCACTCCTGCTGCCGCCATGAACATCTTGTAGGTTGTGTGAAGCAGCTGTCGGCCTTTCAGCAAGTCTGGGGTCAGGGGGGAGGGGGAGAGGTGTCCGTGGGGCACCCCCCAAGGCCACACCATCCTCCGAGGCCTCCCTTCTCCTCCCACCTCTGTGTGGTAACTTACAACCAAAGTAGCAGGAGAGGAGGAAGATGAGGGTGAAGATGAGGAGGAAGGTCGCGTCTGTCTCCAGGATCCCTGGAGAGCAGGGATCAGTTCGGGCTCAGACGGTTGCCCAGGAGCCCCGGGGTCCTGCCACTCCCACCCCAGGGAGGGGGCCGTCCTGATGTCCTCACAGGCACAAGGGGCCTAGGTCTCCACTCACCAAACTCGTCGGCAGAGAAGTGTCGGGTCCAGAAGGATTTCCCGTTGGTCAGCACCATCTCATACTCCAGCTGCAGCCCATCCCCCTGCAGGGTGGCAGGGGGGCCTGAGCCGGAGAGCCATCGGGGCCGGGGGGGGGGGTGAGCTGGGGGGGGGCGTGTGTCGGGGCAGGGGCGCCTTACCCCGCACTTGCTGAGGGCGATGTACCACCATCTCTCGCGCACTGAGCGGAAGCTGCGTCCGCTGGAGCAGCTGAGGTAGCGGACGCCCCCCTCGGACACCACCTGCCAAGGGGAGCCCGAGGAAGCGAGGGCGTAGTCCACCTCCCCACCCCCTTTCGGATATGACCTGCCATCTACTCCCTATGTAACTCGCATGGACCCAATTCTATCCACGTCGTGTGGCCAAGTACAGCGTGAGCACCATGAGGGCAGGGACGCCCTTGCCTTCCCTTACAACCCCAGCGCTGAGCACAGCTACCAGCACGCGGTAAGTGCTTAATAAATGCTTGTTGAGGAACGATCTCTGCCTCTCACTCTTGGGCCCCACCCCCTTACGTCCAGGCTCCCCCCCTCCCATTCTCAGGCCCGTTTTCCCCCAGGGCTCCCCCCCCCACATCTCAGGCCCCGCCCCCTCCCTCTCCCCGGTCCTGCACCACTCACTTGACAGCCCGACCAGGGGTACTGGGTAGTGAGGTTGATCACCTGGTTGTTCTCAGGCCGAATCACCGCCTCTTTGGCCAAGCAGTCCTGCCGGGGCGGAGGGATGGGCGTGAGCGGGCTACCTCCGAGCTTTGACCTCCTCCCAGCCCTTCTCCCTCAGCTCCACCAGTCCGAGGCCCCAGCCCTTTCCTTTCCTGAGGGTTCTCCCACCTTGTCTTGGGCCTTGTATACTGCGGGCCACTGGGAAGGGTCGTCAAAGTACAGGAGGATGTTCTCACAGCACTTGGCCTGTGAAGACAAGGATGGGAAGGATGAGAAGGGAAAACCTCAAGACTTGCCACAGGGAAGGTGTCACTTGGGAGATTCGAGGAGTTATATCAGGGATTAAGACCAGGCTGCCCATCCCTCTCATTCGGCTGGGGAAGAAGAGGCTACCACAGGGAAAGGGCTTAGCCAAGATCTAGACAGGAAATGGCATTTGAACTCATGTCCTCTGACTCCCAATCTAGTGTTCCTTCCATCCCAGCTTGAGGGTCTTAAATAGGGATTTGGGGAGGAAGTCCCATTTCAAGAATCTGGGAGGTCTCCCCCTGGGAACCTGGGAGTATTTTGCCTCAGAGCTTTTGGGAGGAAAGTTGCACCTCGGGATATCTGAACCTGAAGTCCAGCCGGCCATAGTCAGAGAGGAAGCAGAATCTTGTCAGGAATACCCAGTCCTAGGGAAGGAAAAGGGTCAGAGCCTCCCCAGCTTCCCCTCAGCACCACTGTCCCTTCCCCGCTCCCTTGCCAAGTCTGCCCCAACGTTCCCAAATCCTCTTTCCATCTGACCCTAACATTTCTCCAGACCTGAGCCCATCTCCCTTGCTTTGACCTCAATATCTTTCCAGACCTGACCCCATCTCCCCCACCTACCCCACTGTCTCCCCAGACCTGACCTCTTCCTGCCCCTGACCCCAACATCTCCTTAGCCATCAGTCCTGACGTCATCTCCCTAGCCTGGACCCCAGCATCTTCCCAGACCTTATCTCAAAGTCTCTGCAGACCCGAAATCCCTGGCCCTTACCCCAATATCTGCTCCCTTCTTCTGTTCCCAGCCCCCCTCCCCTCGCCATCTGCTACTGTCCTCTGGCCAGCCCCTCTTCCCAGCCTTCCTCCCTTGTCTTAGAGACCCTTTCCCTTTCCCTCCCACGGTTCCTTCTGCGGCCCCCTCTCCTCCCCAGGTACCCTCTATAGCCCCGCCCCGCCTAGCCCCGCCCCTTCTCTCAGCCCCGCCCCCAGGTGGATCCAGCATCTCCGCGGGCTCCAGGGCAAGGGTCTTCCAAAGCTTGGGGCCGAGAGGGGAGGATGTGGAGATGGGGAAAGGGTCTCCCGGGGGCGGGGCCCAGCGCTGGACAGCCGAGCTTCAGGGCGGGGGAGGGGCCGGGTTTCAGGGCGGCTCCCGCTAGAGCTCGGGCCCCGCGCGCTCACCTCTTTGGAGCTGAGGTTGCCCCGCACGTACTTGCCCCAGGCACAGGGGGGCAGCGGCAGCAGCACAGGCAGCAGCAGCAGCAGCAGCAGCAGCAGCATCGCGGGCGCGCGCGGGGGCTCCATCCTGCTCCCGCTCCGGAGACTCCGGCGGGGCCGAGCGCGCGCGCGCACCCGATTAAAGGGCCGCCGCCGCCGGCCACCCGGCCCCTCCCCCGTCCTCCCTCAGCCCCGCCTCCCCCGCCTCCTCTGAGCCGACCTCCGAGGCTGCGACTACCGAGCTCTCCCTCCATGCCCATTCTTTTCCGTGTCAGCCCCATCCCTCTGCACCCCCATCCTTCCCACCCCTCTATCTCCACTCCGGCCTCCGGGGCTGCGAGGACCAGACTCCTCCACGTTGCCCATCCCCATTGCCCGCGCCCACATCCCTCCCATCCCTTGTACTCAAATCCGGCCTAAGGGGCTACAAGGACCGGATTCTGCCCCTGCGCCCACGCTCCTCCTCTGCGCTCCCATCCCTCCCAAACTTCTTACTCCGCTCCGGCCTCTGGGGCTTCGAGAACCCGACTCTCCCACCGCGCCCTTCCCCATCCCCCGCGCCTTCCTCCCTCTCATCCCTCTTCATCCACTTTGGCCTCCCGGGCTGCGAGGATCTGACTTTCCCACCGCACGCCCCCTCTCATCACTCCTCGACTGATCCAACCCCTGTCTCCCCATCCCCCACCTCCTCGCTGGCCTCCGGGGATGTGAGGTGGGATTCTTCCACAGCGCCCGACACCGTCTCCCCTCCTCGTATACCTCCTCTTCTAAGTGGACCTCCCGATGCACCTGTCTTCCCCCATTCCCCCACCTCTGCGCCGGCCTTCGAGGTTACAAGGGTAGGACTTTACCCCTATGACCCTCCCATCCCTTTTCCGTGCTGCTAGCCGGGCAACCTAGTGTCGAGAGGCGACCCGGCCCCCTCGAGGGGAAGGGTTTGTTCCCCTAGACTGTCTTCCCGTCCAGTTCCGTCCTTTGCAGACCTTGGTTCCGAGTCCCTGCTCCCGATGGGCACCTCATTGGGGCAGACCTTTCCAGAGATCTGGAGTCCAGAGGTCTGCATCCTCATGTGGGCCTTCCCTGCTGGCTCTGTGAACTTGGGACGGTCACTCCTCTTCCAGGGCAGCTGGATCAGATGACCTCTGTGGTTCCTTCTAGCTCTGCCCTTTATGCCCTTAAGAGATCATTCAGTCTGAACTAGTCATTTTACTGAATGGAGGCCCGTGGGGGAAAGGCTTTGGGAAAAGTCACACACTCTAAGTGGCAGCAGAACCAGGCTTCCCACCCAGGCCTCCCAGACTCCCAGCCCGGGACACTTGGCCATGAGGGATTTAAGGCCCCTCCCTTTCCCTATTGGGAGGACAGCCTTCCCCGAGGGCCCCTCTGCTGCTTCTGGGGGACATGGCAGAAAGAGCACGGGACTCGGCCGCACACAAACCCTGGGTTTGAGCCCCAGTTCTGATGCTTGCTAGCGGTGTGATGTTGGCCAGGTAACTTCACCTCTCTGTAACTGGAGATAACCATCGGGGCTCTGGCTACTTCACCAGGGTGTGTTGTCAACAGCACCCCTTTATGCCAACAATTGCCAACACTCTCTCCTGCCCTGGAACCCAGCCCACTCTTTTTCCACTCTGGGATTGTTCCCTGCTGTGCCCTACAGGACTTTCCACAGTGTCAGTGACTCAGAAGATGAGCCAAAATCACCAGCACACCCGGCTGCCTCTGGAGAGCCCACTCTGCCTCCAGACTCTCTTCTCCCCTCACAGGACATTTACCCTGGTTCACCTCCTCTCACCAGGACTGGAGCAAATGTTTTCCAGTTAGCTTCCCACTCCAAAGACTGTGTGCTCCATACAAGGGCTAGACGAAACCTTCTTCTTAAAATTCTTACCCATTCAGTGGCCCAGTCCAAGCAACCTGCTCACTCTTCTCCCTAACTCTCTATCCTGTCTCCTCTGCCCTCTTAGGGCCCTCATGTCACTCCCCTACTCCACAGGTTTACTGACTACCTTTTAAGACCAGGCTAAAAAGGAGGGGCTGATCTGGGCCCAATCCCATTACTGCTCTGCCTGTTGCCCTGCTGAACAGGTTCACTACACATGTATGTTGCATAACCTCAACTGGGCCTTCCAGGCAGCCGGGGCAATGCTTTTACACTTCTCGAAGTAATTCACCATCCCCCTCTTCAGAGCAGCCCTTCCAAACCTCCCATGGTCACTCTTCTCCCCACCCTCTCAGCTGAGACCCTTGCTTCATATTTCACTGAAAAAACTGAGGCTGTTATCCACGAGCTCCCTCTTACTGCCTCACCTCCCATCACTCCCATCACATAAAGAGGCCCTTCTCCTGGCCCAGGCAAACCCCTTTACCATCCTATCTCCTCCAACAGACTGCTCCCTCTATCGCTTCCACATCCTCAGTCTCTAACCACTGGTTGCTTCCCCATTGCTGACAAACATGCCCACATCTTCCCCATCCTCACTTGATCTATCACTGTTAGCTATGGTCCCATTTCTCTCGTCTTGAGGAGGCTATAATTGACGTCTGTACTTCCTTTCCTCTCACTTCTTCACCCCTTACAATCCAGTCTCTGACCTCACGCCACTAAAGCTGGTCTCCCCAAAGTTACCAATGATCTCTTAGTTGCCAAATCCAGCGGCCTTTTCTCAGTTCTCATTCTCCTTTTCTCATTCTCTCATTCTCTCATTTCTGCCATCTTTGACGCTGTGGTTCACTTTCTTCCTTGATATTCTCTTCTCTCTGGGTTTTCAGGACACTCTCTGTCTCTCTCTCTCTGTTCTCCTCCTGCTTCTATGCCCACTCCCTCTCTGTCTCCTTTGCTGGATCCTTCTCCAGATCACACCTCCTAACCATAGGTGTTCCTTGGGGCTCTTTCCTGGGCCCTCTGCTCTTTATCCTCCATACTACTTCACCTGGTGATCTCATCAGCTCTTATGCACTTAACTATTATCTTTATAGGGAAGATTCTCAGACCTACTTACTCAGCAACTCCAACTACCTATCAGACAATTCAAAGTAGATGTCTCATAGACACTTTAAACTCAACATGTCCATATCTTTCTCTCGACTCATTCCTCTCATGGACCCTCATCTTCCCTATTACTATAGAGGCAACACCATACTTCTAGGCCCTCAGGCTCCCAGCCCAGGAATCATTCTGGACTCCTCACTCTTACCCACCATATCCAGGCTGTTGCCAAGGCCTGTCGATGTCACTTTTGCAGCATCTCCCAAATATGCCCCTTCCTCTCCTCTGACACTGCCTCTCACCCTGGTCCTCATCACCTTCCCCCTGGACTTCTGCAGTAGCTGCTGGTGGGTCTGCCTACCTCAGGTCTCTCCCCACTCCTGTCCTTTCTCCATTCAGCCACTAAAGAGATTCTCTAAAACAAAGATCTGACCATATCACCCCCTACTCAATAAACTCCAGGGGCTCCCTATTGTCTCTGGGATCAAATATAAAATCCTGTTGGACATTCAAAGCCCTTCAGAACCTAGCCCCCTGCTACCTCTCCAGTCTTCTTACACCTGACTCGTCAATGAGGACTTTTCAGTTCAGCAACACCAGATTCCTGGTGGTCCCATGAACAAGACCCTCTGTCTCTTGGCTCTGGACATTTTCTCTGCCTGTCCCCCAGGCCTGAAATACTCTCCCCTTGATCCAACTATTGGCTTTCCTCAAGTCCCAGATAAAACCTCCCCATTTGCTGAGGCCTTTCCCCCTTAGTTCCAGTGACTGACCTCTTCTGATTGCCCCAATCAATCCTGATAGAGCTTGTATGAACACAGTTGTTTTCATATTGTCTCTTCCCATTAGATTCTAAGCTTCTTGAGAGCTGGGACTGGCTGTTGCCTTCCTTTGTAGCTACTGTGCCTGGCACACAGAAGACACTTAATAAATGCTTATTGACTGACTGACCTTAGACAACCTCACGGCCTCCTGCTCACCATAATTAATGCCAAATTTAGCGTCCCTAGCCAACAGAACTCAAGAGAGTTGCCAGCCACAAGCCCAGGTAGCTGGCTCAGGACCTTCAGGGTTCAATGCCGCCTCCTCATGGTGATGACTTTTGGCCCTTTGCCATCTTACTCCATCTCACTTTCCTTTACCCATTCAGTGCCCCAGCCAAAACAACCTACTCACTCTTCTCCCCAACTTCTCATCCCAACTCCTCTGCCCCCTTAGAATCCCCAGTGTCCCCCGCAGATCTCCTTAGGGGTGAATGCCTGTGGGCCTCGGTCCTGACCCTACATGGACTGGTGTGCTCACTGCATCCCTCCATACGCCGTAAGCTTCTCGGCATGGGCACGCTGGCGTTGCTGTCTTTCTGTCCCCGGGATCTTCCATGTGCTGAGCTCTTCATACATTTTTATTGAAATTATTGAACATGAAAGCACCAAGAGGGAGTGGGAGCTAATTCTCCCCCGCCCGCTGCCATCTCCCAGAAATGAGAATACTTTCAACAAGTTCCTTTACGGAAGGGCACATTGGGGGAGGGCTTCCACCCTTAGTAGAGCCGCATGCGGGGGAAGGTCCAGGGCTCTGGGCTGCTCCTGGACACAAACCAGGGCAGTCCAGGCATTGGGGCTGGGGGACTAGGGCTCCAGTCCAGGGACTGTGAGTTGGGGAAACAAGTAGGTGGATGGGGAGCCCCCCCAGTTCCCCACTGCCAGGGTGCGGCACATGTCGGTGGGGTAGCAGGCAGCCAGATGCTCTTCAGGACATCAAATGATGTCTGGGGGCCCCAAGTCGTCTCTCCGAGCTCAGGTCCAAGGGGTGGGGGTGAGGGTGAGGGCACCCATGGGTCCGGGGGCAGCACCAGGCTCTGTGGGTAAGAATGCAGGGAAAGACAGTGGGCATACAGCAACCTGCCTTGCCTGTCCTCTACCTTCAAACACTCTATCCAGCATGTCCCTCAGGTGAGAAGGTCTTACCTTCTCAGTAGAAGGTGGGCTTGGGGTGGCCCCCAGGGTAAACACAAGTTCCCTTTTCCTTCCTCCTCCTCCTCCTCCTGCTCTCCACCAGGCCGTGCTGATCAGGGTGGTCTCGACCCTGGGGCATCATCCTCCACTCCTGTGGGCTTCCTGGCTCTGGCACTGGCAGGAAGAACACGAGTATAAAGCAGCTGAGGCCCCCTGTGCAGCAGGAATGGGAGAAGTCCCAGACCCGAGGGACCAAATGGAGAAAGGTGGGGAGGAGACTCACTGGGCAGCCAGCATGGACAGAGCGAGGGGTGCTGGGGGAAGAAGGCCCAGCAGGGGTGGGCTCTGGAAGGGGTGATGAGGCAGGATGGAAGATGCTCATCCTCACCTGTTTCCTGTTCCCTGAGGCCCCTAAGGACCTGGCTGAGGTCAGGCAGTTCCCCATAGTGGGCCAGCAAGGCCCCGATTATCTCTGCTCGGGCCTCCTGCACGAGATTGCGCCTGGGGAAGGCCCCAGGAAGATGCAGCTGAGCCTGAAGCCCCTCCAGCAGTGTTCGAGGGCTGGGGGGTCCTGGGCTGGGCCCTCCTGGAGCTTCATTCTCTTTGCCCTTGGGGGGCAGCGGGCTGGGCTCCTCTCCCCAGGTGGGGTGCTGGGGTGGTGCTGTTGCTGCTGCGGTGTCTGGGGCCTCCCCAGGTGGGGGGCTGCTTGCCTCCTCAGCCAGGCCACTCAGCAGCCGGGCCACATTCAGGGACTTCACCTCGCTGCTCAGGAGGCCCCGGTGTGCCCGGCTCAGCCGGCCCTGGGTGATGACCACAGGCTGGGGCGCAGAGAGGCCCAGGGCCAGGTCCCTGTGGGACAGTGAGCCCCGAGGCCGAGCCCGGGGGGCCTGGGGACCCCCAGCACTGGGGCCTCTGCTGGCCCTGGCCTGGTTCCGCTCCCGCTTGGTCCTCCGGTGCCGGATGCGGGCTGACCGGTCAGCCGGCTGCACTGGTCGGGGGTCCAGCCCCCGGTGCTCCATGGCAGCCTGTGACAGAGCAGGGGGACAGCATGCTCATGGAGACAGGGACTCTTGAGACCACCCCTTTATCTGTCTGGGGACAACGAGAGAGCTGAAGCAGGCAGTAGCAGGGAAGATCCCATAGGGCAGGGGCTCTCTGGAAGGAGCAGAGGTCAAAGGTCAGGCACTGACCAGATCTGGGACGAGGCAAAGAGGAGTCGGGTTTGGAAGTCAGGGGATGGGAACAGAGGGGAGGGGTCAGGGATTTGAGGTTGGGGGTGGGGGTTAAAGGTCAGGGGTGAAGGGCAAGGATCATGGGTGGGGGTCGGGATGAGGCCAGTGGTTGGGGATCAGCGACAAGAAAAGGTCAGAGTTTAGGGGTCAGGGTCAGAGGTGAGGGGCCAAGGACAAAGGAGAAGGTCAGGGTTTGGGGGTCGGGGGAGGGTGAGGGTGGCCCAAAGGGGTAGGTTAAAAGTGGGTAGGGCCACTTGTGGACGAGACTCTTTCCCCTCCCCACAGGCCGTTCCTACCTCCCCAACCGACCCCCCTCCCCCTCCACGTGACCTGAGGGGGGAGGGACTGCTCTCCTGTCCCCTCCACGTGCTGGAGCCCCTCAGCCCTGGCCTCGAGCCGCTGAAGTTCCACATCCCTTTCCAGGCCCGCGTGCGCAGGCGCACCGGGGGGCGGGGCCTTGGACGCGCAGACGCAGTGGAGGGGCAGGGAAGCAGGAGACAGTGGGACCACAGACCTGGGGGCCTGCGCGAGCTCCCTTTGGGGAGGGGGGCTTAGATAGATAGGTTCCCCTGATGCTTCTTGCTGTCTTCTCCCCGCCCCCCGCCCTCCTCCTGCGCTGATTGGCTCAGAGAGAGGCCCTCCCCCCCCTCCAGAGGAGGGAAGGGCCTGGCCTGCGCAAGCGCGAGAGGGGATACGCTCCTCTACCTTCCTCCCACAGGGCGTTAGGCACTGCCTCCTGGAAAGGGCAGGGGCCGCTAGGGGGCGCAGGGCAGGGAGCACCGTGCAAATTCTACCAAAGACACCGTGACCTTGGGCAAGTCCCTCACTCTCTTTGGGCCTCAGCTTCCTCCTCTGTAAAATGGATTTTGGGTTTGTGTTTGTTTTTGGGCAATGGGGGTTAAGTGACTTGCCCAGGGTCACACAGCTAGTAAGTGTTATATGTCTGTTATATGTCAAACTTGAACTTGGGTCCCCCTGAATCCAGGGCCGGTGCTCTATCCACTGCGCTACCTAGCTGCCCCTGTAAAATGGATTTTGGAAACAGCATTTGCCTCCCAGGCTGGCTGTGAGGCTCCCTCCAATGAGATATCACATGCAAAGGCTTTGCAAGCCTCAAAGCACTATGTCAGTGTTAGCTATTATTATTAATGATGATATTAAAAGAGAGCATATGTAAAGGCTTTGCAAGTCCTGAAGAACCTAGAAATGCTAGCTGTTAATAACAGTGAGATAACCGATGTAGCATTGATAATAAATAATATCAAATGGGATAATATGCAGAGCTCTCTGTAACTCTTAAATAAATGATATCCCTTATTATCACTATCTTGGCAGAGTCATTCCCTCTCCCTTCCTTCCCTCATTGCCTCAGTTTCTTACTCTGGAAACACGGAAACCTTTGCCCCTCTAAATCTCTGATCGCACTAAACATCCTCATGCACAAGATGGAGAGGGGTGGGCCACCAGCTTCAATCTTTTGTTCATAGTGTGTAGAAGCCTGAGGACATCCACCAGGCACTGATTGTTTTTGGAGATTATGGTTCTCCATGATTCTAACAAAGAATAACAGTCTTTAAAAGACAGGTTTGGGTTAACTTGGGATCTTTAAAATCATTGTCCAACTTTTCAAATGCAATCTTGCCAGCTTTCCTCTTCTTTATCCTTAAAAACAGGATTGTCCTTTACTTTTCTCTGTATCCCCCAGTTAAGTACAGTGCTGAGCACATAGTAGGTGCTTAATAAATTCTACTTGACTGACTGCCTAGCTGGCTTAGCCTAGCTCACTGTTCACCTTCAGAATCTGTCCCAGATACATGAACTGATGGACCAGCTCTGGGAGCTGTCCAACCAGCTGTGCAGGAAGCTAGATAAGAGGCGTTCTGCACCCTCTTCATTTTTCTCATGTGCATAATTAGGCTGAACTCCCCTGAGTGAATATGAATCTCCTGCAGAAATCAATGGGCTGGATGCAATTAGCACAAATGGATTCCCTCACTCAACAAGCATTGACGAAGCCCACTCTGTGCCAGGTGCTGCCCAAGGTGCTGATATACAAAGACAAACATGCATCAGTTCTTGCCCTCTTGGAGCTTACAGTCTACCATGGAGTATAGAGGCTCCCCCTTCAATCTGAGCTCTGACCAAGACGTCCTGAACGACAGCCACAAATACCTTTGGGGAACATAGACTTCCCCGTTCTATACTTTGCTTCATATTCATCATCTTAGAATAGAATTATCTCTGTGTTTGGGTCTTACCCACAGTCATGTGTGATTTGAATATATGGGCGGGGGAAGCCATTGAAGCAGCATTTTGACCATTTTTGTTGTCCAGTCCATTAGTCATGTCTGACTTTGTGATCCCATTTGGAGTTTTCTTGGCAAAGACACTAGAGTGGTTTGTTCTTTCCTTCTCCAGCTTATTTTACAGATGAGGAAACTAAGGCAAACAGGGTGAAATGACTTGCCCAGTGTCACATAGCTACTAAGTGTCTGAGGCCAGATTTGAACTCAGGTCCTACTGACTCCAGACCTGGCACTCTATCCTTTATGCCACCTAGAAGCCCCTTGCTCTACCATATCCAAAGTACAAACAGTACATAGAAAAGCAATTTTGTAATCTCTACATCTTTCAGTGTGACCATAAAGATGTGGTCTGTCATAGAGTATAGTTTGAGAAAACCTGCCTGTTCTCTTCTCACACCTTGGCAATATGTGTGGATTATTCTCCTACAGAGGGGAGGATGGAGCAATGTGGGCCATTAATTATTGATATTTCTTAATGACCTTTCTAGGAGTAACAACATTTGTAATTTGGGGGGATCCTCCTCTGTTTCAGATAACTTCAGATTTAATCCCTCAACACTCGACAATTGTGCCGCCTCCAGGATGGACTTGCTTTGTGTTTCTGTGGTTTGTTCCAGCTGTTCTCTGCTGGCAGGAGATCACATCCACCCCCCTCCCCAATGCCTCATGTCCCTCCTCCAGCCTCCCAGGTGAAGGAAGAGACTCAGGCCCTCTTCTCTTCTCTCTCTATGTCAAAATTTCTTAACTTGAGGGGGAGGGGATAGCTAAGAAGTGTTTTTAATTGTGGGGACTATATTTTGATGTAATTGATTTCCTTTGTATTTTAACATACTTAATGCATTTAAAAATGATTCTGATGTAGTGAGTATGCTCTGGCCGGCTGCTGCACATCCCATTCAGGGTTTTCAGGGTACCCTGAGGGGCCACTGCTGGAGCCCCGACCAGTCTTGTCTACCTCCCCCACCCCCACCTCCCACCCCCAAGTTAGATGCTAGTGAGGAGTATCCCATCTCTATTTAACTACACTTTGGCCAGCTCTGCCTCACTTCAATCCATTTCATGCGCAAGTCAAGACATCACCTGTGATGTCACTGGTCTTCTTCAAAAACAGACAAACCACCACCACCACAATAACGGTTCAAGGACTCATTGATGGAGCTAAGGATATTTAGTCAGGAGAAGAGAAGAATCACAAACTTACACGGCTGTGTGTGGGATTAGACTACTTAGCTATTATTAATAATAATATAAAATTAAATACTGTTTAGTATCAAATGAGATAGCTTGTGTATAGTACTATGCAAACCTTAAGTTGCCATATAATGCTAGTTATTATGAGTTTTATTTTATGGTATTACTTTTATAAGATTACTTGTTTTGGCTGTTTCCAGAAGACAGATCTAAGACCAGTGGGTTGAAATTGCAAAGAGGTAAGTTGAGGCTCAACATAAGGAAAAACTCCCAAAATGGAATGTGCTGCCTTGGGAGATATGGGTTCCCTACATTTGAAGGTCTTTGAGTGAAGGATGATGACCACTTGGGAGAGGGAATTCCTATTCATGTCTAGGTAAGACTAGGTAGAAGAGATTCTGGGAGACTACGACACAGGGACAGGGTGGGAGGAGATCTGGTTACCTCTCCCCAGGACTGAGAGTGGGCAGGGAGAGTACCCAGGAGGGCCACCCTGGGAGAGGGACTGACCAGACCTAGAAGTCTGGTCTGACTGAGACCCTGCATTAGCCTGGGTGGCACCTGAGGTGAGAGAGAGCAGTAGATGTGGAGGAAGAGGAAGAGGCACAGCAGCTCTAGGACACAGCCCCTTTTAAACTGTGGCCTCAGAGCCAAGCTGCTCAAGGGGAAAGCAGAGTCGAGTGATGGAGGCTAGCTAGATGAGTAGCTTCTGGGACAGACGCCAAGGCCTGAGGTGAAATAACCAGGAGACCTGGGCACATGCCGTTCTCCAATTTCCCCTCTGCCTCTTCAGCTGTCCCTCCTCCTTTCCTCCCCTCCTCCATTCCCTGTCTGTCACCCTTTCCTGACTAGTCCCGCATGGTCAGCAGAGGGGCCAAAGGCTTCTACTCCATTCTCTCAACAGCTTCCTCCTTCTTCCCACCTACTTATGTCCTCTCTGTCCTTCAGGGCTGCTGGAAGGTGAGCCACCTCTTCCAGGCAGCCCCCCGTGGCTGCTCCAATCTCCAGGGCTCTCTTCTTTGGTCTAAGCAGCTTCCACTCTGACTATATAAGCCCCTTCCTTGAGTTCTGAGCACACGTGACCGGCCAGTCAGTATCTTTCCCTGGGGGAAGAGGACTAGATTCCCAATCAAACTTGGGGCTTCCTGAGAGCAGGGTCTAGCTCTTTCATTCATCTAAAAAATCCCCTGTTGTATACTGTGTCCTGGACCCCATGTTTGGGCTACAGGAGGATACAGCTATGGATGACACTTGGTTCCTGTCTTCCCTGATGTTGCAGTCTGGTTACAGGGCTGCTTGCTGCTATGATGGATGGAGTGCTGACTTGGAGTCGGGGAGACATGAGTTCAAATCCTGCCTCAGACACTTACCAGTTGAGTCACCCTCAGTAAGTCACTTAATCTCTTTCTTCCTCAGTTTACTCATCTGTAAAGTGGGGATAACAGCATCTGTCTCCCAGGATTGAATAAGCTAAGATATGGGAAGCTCTGTGTAAATTCTGGCTATTTTTATTGTTGTTTTTGTTGTTCAGTCATGTCTGACTCTTCATGATCCCATCTGGGGTTTTCTTGGCAGAGATATTGGAGCAGTTTGCCATTTCCTTCTCCAGTTCATTTTACATATGAGGAAACTGAGGCAAACTGAGGTTTGTGACTTGCCCAGGGTCACACAGCTAGCAAAGGTCTGAGGCCAGATTTGAATTTTGGTCTTCCTGACTTCGGCCCCACCACCCAGCTGCCTTTATTTTTATTAGTTGAAGGAATAAGGACTAGAACCAGAGAACTGGAATCCAATCCTAGGCATGATGGGATGAGATTAGTAAGAGAGGCCCGTGGCCTATCGGGACTGTGAGGAGGGAAAATTTGGTGTATTTGAGTGAAAAGGAGACTCATCTGGGGGCTGGAAGGTCTGGGTTCTAGTCCTGCTTTTGCCAGTT